GGGGGTCTTCGTTTTGGGGGTCTTCGTTTTGGGGGTCTTCGTTTTGGGGGTCTCCGTTTTGGTCACTACCAGTATGTATACTTCTCTCCTGCAGAAATAACTCCAGAGTTATGTTTTTTAAAACCCTCATCTAGGTTTCCTCTATTCTTGGAGGGTATTTTGAAACTCTACGTTTTTACTAAACGTGGAGCGAGACAAATTCGTTCTTAGGAGGCGTGGGGCTTCTTTTACAAATCCCGTATTTACGCTCGGTGGAAAAAGTTCGTGTATTACAAGGTCTCTGTCTCTTTAATATGCGTTTGTATGTCAAGGGTTAACTCCCTATAAAATAACTCGCGTCTAGAAATATAATTTCTGACTCTAAAATCATTCATCCCGCCATCGATTGCGAATGTAACTGTTGCCATTTGTGTCGAGATTCTTAAGCAGATTGCAGTTTTGAATCTTTCTCAACAACGTCAGTTGCCTCCTAAGAACGAATTTGTCACGGATGAATGACCGGAGTCGCGCAAGCCGTTCAAATTTTTCAACTTTCGAGAGAACGGGAACAGACAGTGAATCCCCATTAAAATCCACCTATATTCACGCTATCTCGCTGCCATCAGAGAAGTTCACTCCAACGCGTCAAGATGCAAATAGGGACGAATAAATGGAGGTCCCGTCTCCTGCAGGGTTGGGGTAGGAGACGTTAATTTCCCGCACACGAGATTACTGTGTGATGGATGTCCTCCCCTGGGGTGGGATATTGGGTGCACTTAATTTGGAGCCTCGCTCTGTTGTGTGACCCTCACCACACTCTGGTGAAAATGATTAAATAAATAAGTTTAAATCCACTGCAGCTTTACTCTTTTGTCAAAGAGGTGGATCACAAAAAATATTGCTGCTGCCTAAAACAAGGAGTATACTCTGTTTTCAAGTTTTTGATGTTATTTAAGTCACATCTAGACTAGTCAAAAGACATCCCTATCTTCATATGTGCTTTCCAATTATATATATCAATCTCATCGACCAATAACTTATTATTGTTTGCAAAATTTCAAAATGCAGCATGGATTTTCAGTTACCTATTGATATATTCATGGTGTGGACAGTAATAATATTCAAGTCATTTTAAATTTTTTTCCTTCTCTCACCAGCTGTGATTCTAAAATACGAGCAATAGAGGCCAAGCTCAAACTGATGGAAAGTGGACACAAAAATGACCTGTCTAGTAGAGGAAAACATCCTCTTCTAGTTCAGAGTGAGCAAGTAAGGTCTCACCCATACAAGAAGCAGGAAAGATACAGCAGAGGAAGAGGGAGACATGCAAGATGACAGTGATCTCTGTCCCCAGTTTACTTTTGAACTCTTTAACTCCCAAGATCTGATTGTTAATTCTCCCGTTAGCTGCTACCAATTTCCTTGTAAATTAGAAAAATTTGGTGTTAGATCAAGAGAACAACTTCTATCTGATAAGTTGAAGTATTCTTATTATCTGTTTGTAGGATAACATGGATGTTTTAGGGAGAAATTACATGTTAATCACATCTGGGGGTTAAAGGGTTAAGTACCTAGCTTAGAAATAGTTTTTTCACTACAGTGAAATTTTTGGTAGAAGATTGTTATACAGAAGTTGTTACCAGTAGGGTCATTTTCAAAATGCATATGACAACTTCATTATTGGGATGATATGCAAAAAGAAGCTGTTAATGGAATTCAGCTGAGAGACAAACAGCATGGGAATTCTGAAAGTGAATAGAATAGTTTTCACAGATCCAGAGGTTAAATATTTACTTGCTGGTGTTTTCTAGCTTACTATTTAATGCCTGTTGTAAGAGCCCTATCTTTAGTACATCTACAATTATACAATCTGGTAAATATGTAAAAAATTAATGTAAATAACATGTGGTAACATAAATGAAACAAGAAATAAATAAAAGCCTTGGTCCAATTAATTTACAGAGGTGCTGATGTTTGTCATGATTTTATTGGGTGATCAGAGAAGTATTACTTTTAACCAAAGCTTAAACATGTTTTAAAGCTGTGTTGTTAAACATGGTTTCAAATTGTTTTCCTTGTAGAAGCTGCTTCAACTGATGTTTGTTGACTTGAAATTTAGCACATTGAAAATACAAGTTGTTGATTACTTGAATCTTACAAAAAATTCAAATATAGCCAACAGGGTTCTAACATTTTTTAAAAACAAATTTCAAAGACTTTTCTAGGACTCAGATTGATTTTTCCAGGACTCCAAATTTCATTTTTAAACCTTTCATTCCTAATATTTCAAAACCAATTCTCATTTCAGTCTTCATAAATTATATTTCTTATAACATAAATTCTGAAAACTTCATTGCTTGTGTGAACGTTTCCACGACTTACCCTAACCCAGGACCTGTTATGTTTTTCCAGGATTTTGCAGTCCTGGAAAAATGCCAAGTAAAATTTCAGTTTCTGGGACCTACACAAACCATGAGCCAGGTATCTGAGACTTACCTAATGCTTCTTTACCTCTTACTTTCTGCACAATTTATTATAATTTAATGTTAATATCCCTTTTAGTATATTCCTCCTAGTTTCTCCATGCAAACTTCAGAAACCTATCATGAACTGTGGAAACTCAAAAGATTTCATGTCCTGAAAATATGTATATTTTTCTCTATTTTCGATTCTGTGAAAAAAAAATTCCACAATGCCCAAGCCATTAATTTTGAACATCCTGCATGATACAAACTGGTTCTTGGGTGCTGAAAACAGTTGCTTTTTCTTAAACATTTACATCCCTATGTTATCATTCTTGACACTGTTGCATTTACATTTCCTAAGGTACTAACAGAGAATTTGTTCGATCATCCTTAGCTTTTTAAATTGTTCATCATTTTCTTTATTCTCATGACCTCTACATTTGTTTTAAGATGCTGTCAGGAGAATTTAGAAGCCAGTCACTCTTTGGGGTTGAAGGTTTAGTCAATACAATGCAGGTCTTCTAAATTTGAATATAAAGCTGAAATGAATTTTGACTGATCTGTTGAAAATGGAAAATGGAAGGATTTGGAAAGACTCTGTGGCTAACAGTGACCTACAGGAAAGGCATCATTTGGGTATTCAGGCCACCAAAGGGAAGTCCAAGGCAGGCATATGGAGATTGTAAAGTATATTATTTGCATAAGAGGAGTATCATGCATAGGAGGAGCTCAAACAGCCACTGTGCATTTCTCCCCATGCCCCTTCCATGACCTTGTTTTTCCTTAGCTGAATTTCAACAGCCAGTTGGAATTTAGCACAACCAAAAATAGTTTGTACATTAAACACAAATTATTTATTTCACATCAAGTTTTCTACTTGTAAAAATGAAGTGATAACATTCTGATGAGTTTTTTGGAGTAAAGGCGATGTCCTTGAGAAAATTATTTTAATGTGACCATACAAAGTTCATTATAGTTCAATATCATTGTAGTCTAAAGATAGGGGGGTACTAGGGAAGTATCCAAAAGTTTTCATGTTTGTGTTCCGGTCTTTTCACGCAGTGATCCCTGGCTGTGACTTGGCTGTGCTTTATCTTTCCCTGTCTCTTTCTTTAAAACATGAAGAAGTGTTTGAGAACTTTCAAGTATCTAGGACAAAAAAAAATGTGTATTTCAGTTATTTATGGAAAAACTCAATTCTAGCGAGTAGTGCATCAAAATCATTCCTTCATTCAGGGAATTGTTGGTATCTTAGGGCACCTCATCTGGTCCCACTCAAGACTCATCTCTTTCTGAAATCCTTTGACCCGACTGACTGAGGCTGTACCAAATATTTCCAGAAAACCCTACTCTGAATATTTCAGTGTTCTGCACAAGGGATTTTAAATTCTGGTGCAACTTTTTTGTGTGTTATTTCTCTTCTTTCAACAGAGAAATCACAATGAAAAAGTGCCAAGGATGGTTATTTCATATCAGTTTGATGTCTGAACTGACAACTGGGTCTTTCGAATTTGTCATAATCATATATAGTTCATGATGTTCCATAGCAAGAAAATAATCAAATAGGGGATTTTGTCCTCTCAGACTAAACAAAATAGAAATGATCTATCAGGAATGAGTCTTAGATCTTGGAAGTTAATGGGTTAACAATTGGCTATAAGGTATCCATACATTTTCATCCAAATTAACAATTTTAGGCTGGCCAATATTTGGCCCAATCCACTTGAATTGAGGCACTTATGTCACATTGCATTTTTGATTTGTCACTGCCTTTTCCAAATGCTACAAAGCACTTCCTTTTCTGTACAAACACAACAGGTTACGTGTTCAGTAAATAACTCAATGCAATAAGAAGGAGCCAACTGATTCCCAATTGCCTAAGCTAATCCCATTACTATAGCATGACAGAGCATGATAGGTCTGGGAGTTCTACTGACCCACTGCCAATAGCGTTGTGCGTGAATCAGATGTCAAAGTGACTAATTTTCAATTTTTGTCTGAGTTTTGACATTTTTCTCATTTTAATGACAAAAGTCAGACAGAAGTGAGGGATTGTCGAATGTCAATTTCGATTCGTTTGTCTGAGTTTTGGGTCTATTAGTAGTAACAGCGTGCAGCGCTATTGACTCACCCTTCCACCAGGATTTGATCCCTGATAGTTTGCATTTACACTCCTGGTATGCTTTGATGACACTTTTCGGCTGGATAGCAATTCTTTTGTTGGAAAGTGCTATCTGCCCTTTGCCTAACTGGGCTGTGGGTGGACAGAAGCATTGTGGGGGCTAAGTGTAAATTTCAAGAGCAAAACAATGACCCTGACCCAGGGCTTGGATCAGACATTTCAGTCCTGAGACAAGCACACCAGCCACTAAGCCAATGCATCTCCCAAACAAGGTTACTGCTTTCTACATCTGTTTCTATTAGCTTGTGAGCAAATTTTAACTATGCTCGCCTTCCTCTACCCCTGATCCCACCGGTTAAAATGAGATAGGTTCAACTTTTGAAATTTCTTCACTCCACCAGCTGCCCTGCCTACGAATCTTCAAGGGGGGAAGGAGGTTCAAGTAAGGGTTTGATTATCAAACTCGCCACCCGTAATTTCAAGGACACTCCCTGAGTAGTATTACTATAGGTTTCGTTACTTAACAAATTGACTTAACAAATTGACTGAAACCAGTTATTTTCTGGGAAATTTAAGCTCACCTTCATATAAGCTGCTTCTGTCTCGGCAATCGTTTTGTCGTACTCAGTCCTGGAAGCTATCTTTTTAGCGAGGCTTTCGTTGATTTTTGCCAACCTTTCGCTTAGAATTCGAATGTCGTTTTGAATTTTTGCTTTCTCCTCCTCTTCGTTAAGTATTTGTTTCTGAAGTTCGTCTCTTTTGGTGCAAAGATCCTCTATACCTGGAAAGTAATTTAAAGAAGCAAGTTTTTTAAAAAGGAAATTCATTTTTATGGCTATTAGCAGGCTGAAACCTGTACAGTTCAGTACAAAACTGAACGAAGAACGATAGACTATCCACAAACCACATCTTTTTTCATTTGTCAAATTACCCACTATCAATGGCATCTATTAGGAAAAACATTACTTACACTTCACTAGCTCATTGTTGTATGTTTGCAAAGTTGCTCCTTGTTGTGACATCGCGATCGAAATCAAGCAAAGAAATCAATTGTAAACGTTAGTCACAAATATTGCCTAAACCGTAACTTTGGAGTGATGTTTTCTTTCTCCCGCGTAATATTTGTATGGCGTTGTCCTGGAGCTGAGTACGCCTACAAGGCTCGACGGGAAGTGTTCCTTCTGAAACTTAGCGGGGTCCGTTCGGGATCGTTCAGGAATCCTCTAGACTTTGAATCGAGGTAATTTATGGAATGATTTATGACATAATTTATGAAATAATTTATGGCATAATTTAGAGTATTTAATGCATTTATATGCATTTTATTACAATAATGGCGGAAGCCAACCCGATGACGAAGCGGGAAAGATATTTCCTTTTAATACTGCGCTCGTCAGGCGGCTGAACCTTTTTTAAATGGCAAAAATATATACCCTAGCCAACGAAATTTTGGCCAGTATTTTTAAGCATTTAGCTGCGTTGGACCTTGGGACGGTAGCGAAGACTTGTCAAAGGTTTAGGAGCGCTACCTGTATTGATCAAATTTGGCAACATCTGTGTGTAAGAGGTAAATATCTGTATTTCTGTCTCTTTTGAGGTACATTAGGGGAAGTGGTTAAGTTTATTTGAAGTTATATCAACGGTCAT